TCCACAGTCTGGCTCTCTTCCAGCTCATGTTACCTTCCTTGACCTCACTCTGCATTATCCAAGACCGTAATGTGCCTCCTCCCTCTCGCCACTCTTCCTTTCCTTCCAGAATCAGCTCAGACACCACCTTCTTCCAGGCAGTCTTCTCTGATTTCTCTACTTCTTAGCTTTCCCTGGACCAGTCTGCCTCCATCGCCCAAGGATTCCCATCCCTTTCGTCTGAATTTGCTCTTTGGGGCACAGGTTGCACACTTACCTTACCCATAGAGCATAAGCTTTCTGAGGGCAGACATGACTTTGTCTTTGTCTTTGTCTACAACATCTAGCCTGGGATTTTTCTTTTGTCGTTGTCAGCAGCTCCTGGTGTGGACCCTCCTTCTGCCAATGTCACTGTCTCTTTAACTGATGGCACAGAGACAGGAAGGAGAGAGATGCCCTTTGAATGAGGCTTTTAAGTTATCGATTAGGTTTCCTTATAGCACAAGGGTTCCTGGGTCCCTGCTTCAGTATGCAGAGAGCTCTGGAGAAGGGAGGGGGACAAGGACTGACAGGGGGCACATTGGGGTTCAGGCCACCAGAAAACAGCACAGCATGGGAAGCAAAGGGCATTAGTAAACTGATTTTAAAAGGTAAAGGAAAGTCAAGGAATAGAAAGCGATGGAAGGAAGGAAGGAAGGAAGGAAGGAAGGAAGGAAGGAAGGAAGGAAGGAAGGAAGGAAGGAAGGAAGGAAGGAAATGGAATGGAATGGAATGGGAAGAAAGAGGGTAAAGGAGGGAAGGAAAGAAGGAAGAGAAAGGGAGTGAAGGAACATAGGGAAGGAAGGGAAAAGAAGAAAAGAAAGGAATAGAAGGGAGAGAAGGAAAGAAGGGAAAAAAGAGAAGGAAAGAAGGAAGGAAGGAATGGAAAGAAGGGAAGGGAGAAGAAGAAGGAAGGGAGGAAAGGAAGGAAGGAAGAAGGGAAGGAAGGAAGGGAGAGAGGGAGGGAGGGAGTAAGTGTGACTAGAGCTTACAAAGAAGGAGCTGCAGCCTTGGAAGGCTTGACTACATCTTCCTTCGGCCACAAGTGGTGGTGCAGCAGAAGGGTGGCTGGTGAATAATTAAGATAAATCCCCCCCACCTCTGGGGTGCCCAGGCTAGAGCTCAGCACTGGCAGGCCATCCACTGCAATGTAAGACCCTGCCTCTGCCTTCCAGGAATGCATGGTCTAGTAAGGGAGGCCAGGTGCATACTGCCTTGCTCAGGACCTTCCATAGCTCCCCATTGCCTACAAGAACACAGCCCTGGTCGGCCTCTTGATTTCAGGGCTGTCTTGGGTTTTAACTCTTTGCTATATCCCAGTCAAGTCAGTCAGTAAATAACTATTAATTAATTGCTTACTGTGTACCAGGCACTGTGCTATGTGTATATATGACCATACAAAGAAAGGCAAAACCAGTTACAGCCCTCAAAAAACTCACCTGTAAATAACATGGTATGTCCAGGGTGTATATAGTATAAATGTAAAGTGTCCTCAGAGGGATGGCACTAGCAATGGGAAGGAGAATAGGAGGGGCTTCCTATAGAAGGTGGGTAATAGTAATAATAACAATAATCATAGCTGACATCATAGAAGTGCTTTACAAATATGATCTCATTTGATCCTCGAGACAATTTTGTAAAGTACGGCCTATTATTGTTCCCATTTCACAGATGAGGAAACTGAGGCTGAGAGTCTAAGTGACTTGCTCAGGGTGACACAGCCAGGAAGCAGTGAGTGTTTGAGATAGGCTGACTCCAAGCCCATCATTCCATCTGCCAGGTCACTTAGCTAAGCTGAATTTTTAAGAGAAGCCGGGACCCCAAGAGAGACATTAGCGGACTGCCCCACCATTGACTCCTGATGCCTAACAGTAGGGTAGGTATGGAGCCCATGCTTTGGTCAGGTCCACAAGGCCCCCATGGGAGCCTCCATGTCTGCCATCTGCATCCCACCCCCAGATCATTGGGAAAAGGCTCAGCACCACTTTGGCCGAGGGCAGAGGATTTTTTTCCATTATGCCAACCCTCAAAGTCTGTCTGTTAATCTTGGTGGGGTTGTGGTCTATGCTGGTCTAGATGTCTGCCTACACCCAAAACCCTTGAAATGTGATCCGTCAATGAACAAGGATTTATTCAACACCTACTGTGTGACAGGCCCTGTGCAGGTGAATCAGCCCTGCCCACAAGGAGCTTCTGTTCCATCTGAGGAGGCTTTTGGGGCAAGGCTTCAAGCTCAAACCTGACCAGAGGAAGGCTGCTAGAACAATGGGGGAACATCCCCAAGGCAGCTGGGTGGCCTTCTGGTAGCCCAGAACCCTGGCTTTATAGCCCAGAGGGACCTTTGAGGTCATCTAACCTGACACCCCCCCCCATTTAGATCCACAGAGGTTAACTACTGATGTCACACAGACAGGAGCAGAGCCAGGATTTGAACTCACATCCCCAACTTCAAATCCAGTTACAGTGTCCAAGTGGCCCCTATAACAATTCCATTTCCATTGCCCACACAATGTCCAGTCATGGTTTTATGTAACCCTTCTACTGGGCTGGGCTGGGAAGGGCCCAGAGCTGGCCTTCAAGAGGCCTCCATCCTAAACCTAGCTCAACTTCTGTCACTGGGCTGTGTGACCTTGGACCAGTCACCTCTCTCTCTCTCTCTCTCTCTCTCTCTTTCTCTCTCAATGGGCCCACTGCAGCAAAATACCCAGGTTCCAAAAAGAAGGGAGGATTTTTGTTTTGTTTTTTTTTAATTACAAACAGCTACAGGCATGTACAATAAAAGTGTATTTATTTTCCTTTTGGGATTATTAGGTTTGCATCGTAAGCTCTGAAGCCTCAGGGTATAAGTTAAAATAAGAGTACTCTTAATTAAAGCACTGAGAAAAGAGCGACAGTGATATTCCAGCATCGAGACATGCAGGGCCTCAAGCAAAGCATCCTGGCCCCTGCCCATCCTCCATGCTTCACCTTTGCTGCTCAGTCTCTCCCTCCCACCACCCTTTGATGGCTGAGAGCCTGAGCCGGGTGGCATAGAGGGAAAGGTCAGGGATTTGGATTCAAATCCTAGCTTCGGACTTCCCAGCTGGATGACCTCAGGCACATCGCTGGCCTCCTCTGTGCCTCAGTTTCCTCCCCTGTAAAGTGTGGGCTTGGACTAGGCAATTCCTGTAGCTCTGGGGCAAATAGTCCACACGTCTCATCTTCCAAGGGCGTTGTAGAGATCCCGGTGTCTAGAGCTGGAAAGATGATCTGGTCCAAGGCTCTCATTGTCCAGAGAAGGAAACTAAGGCCCAATTAGTTCAGGGACCGAACTGCCACAGGTAGTAAGCATCAGGAGTGGATGTCCTCTGACTCCAAAGCAGGTGTTTGTCCCTCCAGGCCTTGTGTCTTAGTGGAGGGAGGGCTCTGGACATGGAGTCAGGAAGACCCTACCCAGTGCGCGTCATTTCTGTCTCCCCTGGAAAAGGAGGCGCTTGGACTCTGTGGCCTTGGCGGCCCCTTCCAGCTCCAGTTGGAGGCTTCCTTGGCCATGACGGAAGGCTGGACTTCTCCTGTGCCCAGTGAATATTGAAAGCACTTGCCTGGCAGATTCTCCTCAGCACCTTTCAATTATTTTTCTCCTAAGCTCTAATAATAGCGATTGCTCGCATTTCCATGGCGCTTTAAGGCTTGCAAAGCATCTGACATGAATTATCTCATCTCATCCTCCCACCAACCCCTTGGGTGGGTGCTATTAGAATCCTCATTTTACAGGTGAGGAAACTGAGGCTGAGAGGTAGGTAGTGACTCGTCCAGGGTCATACAGCTAACAAGGTGAGGGGGAAGATTGCTTAATTAGAGTGAGGGAAAGTGAGGCACAGTCCCTGGCGGGCCATGCACATCCCATGGGGTCTGAGAAGATCCTCTTTTGTTCTGATGTCTGAAGGGCCTTCTAAACTGCCCTTGCGACTGACTCTGAGAGGAGAGTTTCTTTCCTCCATCTCCCATCTGATGCCTCCTAATCTCGTCAGGCCTTGCTTCTGCATGGATGTCTGTTAGCGTGAGCCAGCGGGAGAGTTCCACAGAGCGGCTGTGACGGCTGCTGCTGCCTGGGAGACAGAGGGTGCGTGTGTTCCTGGTACATTAGCATGCTGAACCCATGCCTCTCATAATGTGTTAATTAAATTTCTTCGAAGTATATTGTCTGAAAAAAAGTCTAATTAGAAAGATGTCTTTAAAAGTATTTATGTAACTGATATGATACCGAGTTGGGTTTGTGGTATAATTAGATTGGAACAAAACTCCTCGAGTGTTCTCACGAAGAGACAGAAATGTCAGCACTGAAGAATTGAAAGACGGTTGAACCTGGGAAAGGGGGCAGTAGTGTGAGGGCAGGGAAGTAGCACCACACAACCTGGGTCCTGGGAGGCCAAGCAGTCCAACGGCCTCATTTTATAAAGAGGGAAACTGAGGCCCAAAAAGGGGAGTGACAAAGGTGACCTCAAAATCAGGGGTAGTGGCAGAGACAGGATGGAGCAAAAGAGGAAACTGAGGCCCAGGAATTTGCCCAAGGTCACTCAAGTGGCAAGAATACCCTGGCCCTGCCGCTCACAATGGAAAATCAATGGAGTCAAAGGGCCCGGGCTTAAATCCAGCCTGTCATACTCACTACCTGAATGGATCGCTGAATCCCTAGCCCTCACTTTCCTCATCTGCAAAATGGGGTGACTTCTGAAGGTCCTTCCAGAGTTCTGTCTACAAGCCTGATCTTACAAGTCTCTAAACAACTTTGCCATGTGCCCTTCCCTGTCTCTGAGCCTTAGTTTGCTTCTTGGTATTCTGAGAGGGTTGCACTGGTGATCTCTCAGGTTCCTTCCAGTTCTAACAGCCTCCCATTTTCTCTGGACAAACTAGAGCCATTTCCGAGCTTGGGGGTCTGAAGAAACTTGCTCCCTTCCTTCCCGGGGGCTCCCAATGACCCATGTTGCCTTCTTCTCCTGCAGGGTGGATCCAGTCCCCCATGATGCCCCCAAGCCTCCAGGCTACACCCGCTTTGTTTGTGTCTCTGACACCCACTCCAGGACAGACCCCATCCAGATGCCCTATGGAGATGTTCTAATCCATGCTGGGGACTTCACGGAGCTGGGGCTCCCCAGCGAAGTCAAGAAATTCAACGAGTGGCTAGGTAAGTGGCCCAAGGTGGTGCTGAGTGACAGGCTCATTTCCCAGCCCAGTTATAACCTTCACCAAAAGGAAGCAGCCTCTGTCCAAAGAGTCCACCATCCTGTGTTGGGAAAGGTCCTAAAGGGAGGACCAAGAGTCTAGGGTTCAAAGTCTGGGTCTGCCGCCTGGCCAAGGACTGGCCTCTTCTGAGCGTCAATTTCCTCACTTAGGAACTGGAGAGAATCGTGCTTAGAAGCATCAAGTCATAGACGCTCAGGGCTGGGAGAGACACCAGACGCCATCAGTAACAGGAACATCCCTGGATGATGAGTGCTCATCCTGCCTCCCTTGGAATACCTCCAGTGATGGGGAGCCTACTGCTTGCTGATGCAAGCCATTCCACTGTTAGAGAGCGCTAAGTGGTAGGAAGGCCTTGCTGGTAATAGAGCCGAAATCAGGGCCTCACTGTGGACCTCAGGCTCCTCATCTAAGAATGGAGGGGGTGGCCTAGAAGGTCTCCAAGGTCCCTTCCAGCTCTGATTTTATGATTGTCCTGTCCTACTGCCCCCCCCAAGGATCCAGGGCCCTATGAGACCCTTTTGAAAATGTGTATTTATATATTTTAATATATTATGTTTTATTTGTTTATTATTTATATTTATTAATATTATTAAATATATAGATTGATTATATAAAATTACTTTATATATACATATATACTTTATAACTAGAAAGCTATATACTCTGTATATATATACTCTGTGTGTGTGTGTGTGTGTGTGTGTGTGTGTGTGTGTGTGTATATATATATTCTATAACTAGAAAAGCCTGTATAGACACAAAACTTTCAGATAAGGCCACAGAAGTAGAGATGACTGACTGCTAACTTCCTGTGGGGGTTGGGAGGGTTCAGGAAAGAAGTCATGGAAGTGGTAGCCTTGGGATAGACTGTAAACCCCCTCAGAGCAGGAATCATGTCCTCACCACTGAACATACTGCCTGGCACACAGAAGGCAGTCAATAAATGAATGCTTATTATTTGTTTAAGCTATGCACAGGACAGATGCTGCTGCTGCTGATGATGATGATTATAGCTTAGGTGTATAGGGGCAGGGACACAGCACAATGGATAGAGCACCAGCCCTGGAGTCAGGAAGACCTGAGATCAAATCTGGCCTCAAACACTTACTAGCTGTGTGGCCCTGGGCAAGTCATTTAACCTGGTTTGCTTCAGTTTCCTCATCTGTAAAATGAACTGGACAAGGAAATGGCAAAACAGTCCAGTATCTCTGCCAAGGAAACTCCAAACAGCATCACAAAGAGTCGGACGCAATCAAAATGACTGAACAACCGTCATATAACAATAGCTATTGTTTATATAGTACTTCCTCTGTGCCAGGCACTGTGCTAAGTGCTTTGCAAGTCCTATCTCATTGGAGCCCCACAGCAATCCTGGGAGGGAGGTGCTATTATTATCCCCATTTTACAGATGAGGAATCTGAGGCAAATCGAGATTAAAATACCTGCCCAGGGTCCCACAGCTAGTAAGTGTCTGAGGCCAGATTGGAACTCAGGTCTTCCTGACTGCAGGCCCAGTACTCTGTGTACAATTCCTCCTAGGTATTTCCAATCCTGTGAAGTATCATTTTGCCCATTTTACAGATGAGGAAAGAGAGACTAGAAAGGTGAAGTGACTTAGCCCAGGTAGTGAAGGTCAGAGCCCAGATTCAAACCCAAGTGGTCTCCTTATCTTCACCCAACCATTTTTTGCCCCACAGCAGATCCCCACCACCATCACAAACAGATGTACACACAACAAACATACATACATAGACACACAATGTATGCACAAACATGCACACACCCACAGTAAGTGATTAACAAATGCCCTTCATTTTCATCCATCCATCCATTCATCCATCCATTCATCCATCCATCCATCCATCCATCCATCTATCCATTCATTCATCCATCCATTCATGCATCCATCCATGCTTCCATCCATTCATCCATCCATTTATCCATCCATTCATCCATCTATTTGTCCATCCATTCATCCATCCATTTATCCACCCATTCTTCTATCCATCTATCCATCCATCCATCCATTCATCCATCCATCCATCCATCCATTTATCCATCCATCTATCATCCCATTCATCCATCTATCCATCCATCCACCCATCCATCCATTCATCATTCACCAGACAAAGGCTGTTTGTGTTCCATTGTGAAGTGGAGACTTAGGAGTTCTACACAGATAAAAATGGGAGGGAGGGAGGTGAAGCCATTCCAGGAGGAAAGAGCAGTGTTAGCAAAGGCAGGGAGGTTAGACAGAGCAGAGGAGATTTGTCTCTCCCCCCTTGGAATCTCCATTTTCCTTCCACATTCAGCTCCAACACCATCCACATGAAACTCTTCCCATATCCTCTGCTGCCAGGGCCCTGCCCATTCCCATCACTCCGTGGCTATTTTGCACATACCTCTCTATGGACTTTTTGCTTCTCCTGGAGAAAATCACCTCTTGCAAGTCGGCATTTTTACTGAAGTCTTTGCATCCCCAATGCCTCACACAGTGCCTGGCACCAAGCACTGCTTATTGAAGTGTCTGTGGTCGATTAGTGATTGATGAGAGCAATGTTGGGTCAGACTGGAAGGACAAATTTGGGCCAGCTGTAGAGAGGGCCTGCAATGCCAGGTTAAGGAATCAGGACTTCATCTTGTAAGAACTGGGTAGTCATGGGAGACCCTTGAGCTGTGGAGCCACACTGGATGATTCCTTTGACGATTGCATGGAGAGGAAGTGAGACCAGGGGGCCCTTCAGGAGGCACTTGTCACAGTCCAGGTGGGTGGGAATTGGGCCAGAGCTTGGGAATGGAAGAGATGGCTGCAGCAGCCCCCCTCGCGAACCATCTACATAAAGGCCCTTCTGTGCAGCTGGGAGGTGCTCGCCTGGGGACAAGAAAGGAGGGAAAGCTCTCTGTGCCGGCTGGAACATCATCTCTTTCCCCCGGGGCTGACGGCTTCCCAGGCAGAGGCTCAGCTGCGCCACCAGGGATGGAGACCAAATGGAGGGAAGTGGCATGTGGGAGCTCCAGTCCCGGCCAAGGCAGAGCCGGTGCACAGGCCGTCTGTGGGCCTCACTTGGCAGGGAGAGCGGCGCTGCTGTCTTTCTGGGCAGCATGGGGTGATTTATACAGCCTCCTACCAAGGCTTGTGTTGGGGGTGCTTCTCACCCTTAAAAAAGAAAAGACCATGGTTCATTGTTGGAAAATCGATTGGCATCGTTTCTAGAGATGACAGAGCTGACTCACATGGGGCTGCTCTGCCCTGAACCAATTTACCTGATCCAGGAGCTGGGTTTGGGTGTGGGGGCCAGGAGCTAGCAGAGGAGTCCTAGGCATAGCTGGAAAGAAGCCTGGGTAGGGAATGTCAGAGCTGGGAGGCAGCTTAGAACAGGGGATGTCAGGGCTGGGAGAGATCTTAGACGGTCAGAACTGGGAGCAGGGAGCCTTAGAACAGGAGTGGGAGGTGCTTAGAGGTCATTGTTAAGCCATTTGTTCTTTTATGGAAATTGAGCTCCAAGAGCATAGAGTTAGTGTGGTGGCCCAGGGAGTGAGCTCCTGTGGGCTTAGCTGCAGTTTAGCTTCCCAGGGAGGAGCTGATGAGTGACAGCACAGAGCCACAAGCCGGCAGCCTGGAGAAGGAGATGTAATGAGAGAAATTTTTGGCTTTTTTCAGTCTTAACAAATATTTGCAATTAGGTCCTTACCCTATTTTTGGCAGGCTCTAACTAATAATATTGATTTTTAACTGGAAATCCTAATAATGTGTTCTGTGAACACACAGTAATTCAAAAATGTGTTAAAATGTGCATGAGGTTGGGACATCATTCTTCAGGCCTGCTAGGAATTCTATTTACAACATAGACAAAATGTGGCTTCAAAGTAACATGGCTGCTTTGTGAGCTTGTGAGCTCCCTGTCACTGGAAGTATATAAGCAGAAGCTGAGTTTCCTTTCTGGGACCTGGTAGAATAAAGCCAGACTTCCTTAAACTTCCTTGCTCTGGATCTTAACGTCCTTGTCTAGAAATGGAGGGCTATAGACTGGATCACCTATAAGGCCATATTCTCATCTGACACTCTGTATTCTATGTTCTAAGGCCCCTTCCATCCCTGACCTTCCCTGTTCCAAGCTCCCTCCCAGCTCTAATATTCCCTGTTCCAAGGCCCCTCACACCTCTGCCATTCCCTATTCTTGCACGAGTACATGGAAGATTTTCAGACTGAATAATCTCTAAGGTTATTTCTAACTGGTCTTCTAAGAGTTTCGGAGCAGTGGCTCACATGGAGGGATCCCAGTGGGTGATTTGGTTTCTCTTTTCCCCCCTGGGAGCAGGGGGATATCACTAAATGCTTGGGGCACAAAGCAAGGGAAAGGACAGTCTGTACCCCCCAGGACCCAGGACCCCGGGGGAGGGGGGAGACAACGCGTGAACAGGTATAAACTAGGTATAAACTAGACAGAGACAGGATAGACTGGGGACAACAAAGGGAGGGAAGGCCTGGCACTGAGGGGGTGGGAGAGCTTCTTCCTGGAGAAGGTGGGATTTTTGAAGGCACTTGAAGGAAGCCAGGGAAGCCGGAAGGTGAGGGTGAGGAGGGAGGGCATTCCAGGTATGCCCACTGGGCACTGGAGGACCCAGCAGCTTTTTGTAGATGAGAAGCAAGGCCGCTGTTTAAGACTCACTGTGGGAAAGGGTGGGAGAACCTAATCTAGTTTAACATTCAGAATGGATTAGGCTGCCTTGTTAAGTAGTGAGCTCTGCATCTCTGGAAGTATTGAAGCAGAGGTAGGAGGGCCTTTTGTTAGGAATGCTATAGAAAGGTTAGGTTCTGCACCGATGCTAGGATTCCAGAAGAAAAAGCCACTGTGGCCAGTGCTGGGTCAGCTACCAGGTGTGAGCACACAGCCCTCACTGCCTTGTCATTGTGACCCAAAGATTAATCAACTGTATTTA